TGGACCATTTTACCACCGTTTTTGCACCAAAACTGATAACGTTGTTTTTCGATTTGCGACGTCGGAATGTCGTCGATATCTAAACCTGACCATTGCACGGAAAGGGCTAGCCTAGCACTACTATCTGCTTATCAAGAATATCTGATGACATTTAAATTGATGACGTCACAAGTGGTACAAAGAGCACGACCATTAATTACGCATATATATGCCTAGTTGGTATTCAAAGGGTTAACGGCGGGAGAATGTCTGCGTTTCAAAAATCGCGTGATACTGATTCGATCAAGACCTGTGGATTCTTAGAACCATGACTTCCAATGTTCTTGGTGGTGATCCAGAAGTGGTAAGACCCAATCTGCTGTCTGAATTCAGGTTCGCGGTATCCGAAGCTCAGCTCTTACGATATATGTTACTAGGAAACCGTATGCGGACGCGCTCTGCTTCAAACCCTTCTGCTTGGTATGTTCCATGTCTGGTGTTAACAAATAATTAAACGGAAAAATGCCTTCTTTTACATTCACAGCTTGGTGTTTGAAAAACGTTTTCTTCTAAAACAATTCCCGATGTACGGTCTTCTGCTGTAATGTCTTTCAAAATTTCTGCTCGGTTTGACATCCATTTTCGTATGAGAAAACCTGCCAACCCGCCGAGTTCCGTAGGCTGTTTGCGTGTGCGGCTCGTGTATCCTAGGCGATCTCGACTGTGGGTACCTATGGCATCAAGTCATCCATGAAGTAGTTGTTTCGAATTGCTTTCACGGCTAATGGATGCTTGGTCCTGAGGTTCTCAGCGTGCGTTTGCTAAATGAACTGAGCACAGAAAGGACAGTAGCATCCTCCAAACACGAACCTTGAAAATTCGTGAACTTCGTGTATCAAGGTTTCCAATAAGACTCGATCAAAAGGTCTGTTTTCTGGTTTGAGAACCAATTGGTGATACCCCTGGCTAACATCTCCCACTCCCCTCAAGCTCTTTTTGAAATCGGACGAGGATTTCGAAGATACATCTTTGAAGCTTTGAACTGTTAGTGTTTCAGGGTTGAGACTCCACTCATTCAGCATCGCCGACGCGTCAAACTCCTTCTCACTTTGGCTTTAGTTCTGTTAAGACGTACCAATGAAAAGTGGGACTAAAAACCATTAGGTCGTACCTCTCCAGCGAGTTCTTAGGCAAATTCTCGACATTACCTTCGTACAGGTTTCGCCCCAAAATCCGTGTTAATCGTGTGTTAAGACTGTCGTCTTTCAAAACAACGATAGTTTTCTCCAACAAGTCGGCGAATTTGTCTGTTGACTTCAGTGTTGTGAATATCTGGGCGGACGAACTTCACGATATCACGAAACAAACTTAGGTAAATGTGCAAGGTTTTAATCTCGATGTAAGGGGCGTACAACAGCGCTACACTAGTGCAAAGGTTACACATGTACAGAACTTATTTCGCAAGGAAAACTGTCAAATTAGGTTCTCAGGTTCCTATTCGCTAATAGGGAGTTTTAGCAAACCACGACGGCGACGAGAGTATAACCAAACAAAAGGTTTAATAAGCAAAACAATGACTGTGCATGTGCGTTTTGAATCTTTGTACATTTCGTTGTCGTCCTCTGCAAAACAAAAACGTGAAATGATTAAATTCTACGTATTTTGGAGAACGCGAACCGCAATGGCTAATTGTTTGTATCTTCTTTTGGAGTTGAACGCTGTCGATGCATGTTTAGCCTGAGCAAGGTTTTAGACCGATAGGCGTACTGGACTGATTTACACAGTCGCGATATTCGAAGGTAAAATACAGAAAAATATTAATTCATTTTTTACAAGGCGTTGTCCCCGCCGTCGCCGCCGTCATTGCTAAAACTCTCGTTTTTGCGACATAGTAAGCAATTTGAGTACTCTATCCTAAAACTTTGACTGTTTCTTCTGCTTCTCCCCATAAACAACTTCCTAACCTCAACATTTTTAACTGTAGAACTATCGAAGCTTTAAAAGAAGATGTGCTGAATATTGACAACAGTTGCACGCAGTCTAAAATTGAACGTGAGGATGCATATGATTCTCACGCGTAGCTAGGAAAACAGGTAAAGCTAAACACGCGAAACAATTAAATTAAATCTCCTGAGACTGCACTAACGTTCAGGAACCAGAAGCGTTTTTGGAACCCGTAAACCGGCGCTCAAAACCTCAATTCTTTCTAGCTTCAGTAACAAGAATTGTTCAGGAGTATTGCTGCTTCAGCTATGCATTTACATGTACTACTGGTCAATCGGAACTTGCTTCCCGATCTCCATCATCATCACCGTTCTTTATCATTGCTTTTTAATAATTGTCAATTATTTCCTTCTTAAAAATTTCTATATATACCATGTTGGCTACCATATGGACATTCCTTTTGAATTTCACATAAATTGCTCAACACGGAGGAAATACCATACTGCAAAACACGAAAACTCCGTTTCCTAGCAATTAATAACGACAACATTTCTATTTGAACCTGCTCCCTTACCCACAACTTTTCTAGAAAGCAGAAACAAAAAACAAACAGTACAATTTTCTTACCAGTTCTTGATGATTTCTCTAAGGTGAATTTCTTCCTTTGTGCTATGATTGAAAACTGAGTGAGGCAATTGCTGTTGGAACAAGATGTAACAGGTTGCATGACGGTCAGTTAAAACAAATGTCTCCATTGTCAAAGGCTTTTAACTCGTTATGATAGTAAACAATTTCCCATATCGTATTAACAGGTGGATATAGTTCCTCTAAACGGAATAAGCTGAAGTCACGTACGAAGTAAAATGATTCAAATTTAAATGTAAGATTAAGATAGCTGAATGATAACTTTTTTTTAAGATTTTTACCTTGTTACAGTTATTGCATATTTACTTTAAGGGGTAAAATAGCGGTATTTTAATTCTTAATTTTCTCTCTAACTCGCAACCGTAATGGACGATATCTATTGTTATTTATTTTAACTGCAAATGTTTAATTAAGCACCATTAACTTAGCTGGTTTATTGCATTCGGGTTAACTGACAAGATTCTAATTTGCGATGATTATAAAGTTTCTTTAAACGAAGGGGTGTGAATGAGGATTAACTAATAACCTAGAATTATTGAAAACTTTGACTGCTAGCTGAGAAATGTCACATTTTTTAACTGAAAGCTGACATGGGCAAAATGATTGGATGGCTGCCAGTCGAAATGGGTTGAAATTGCTCTTAACTGGGATTACTGCAGCGTCATCCAGGCCCACAATCTGGTTAATATTAGTCGATAATAACATAACAAGCAGAAAACATAAAATGGAATAAGCAGGAAATATTGAGAGCTTCCATTATTCGACACACCCGGGGTTTACTCCCACAAAAAAATCATCAAGTTACCGGTATAAATCCCGGGAGGGTAATCCCAGAGCAATTGGGTGAGGGTGTACGACCCGCTTCCCAAAAAAGCCCCTTGCCCTATCAATAACCAAAATCTGCGATTTTTCCCACCCAATCTATGACCAGACCAAAAATTCGATACCCTATTTATGACCGTTGCGACTGGCACAGTTGCCCTAAACATAATTTGTGAAGCTCTTTTGTTTGTGGTCTTACCGATAATGATGAAAAAGTAGCTTCTTCTAAACAAACATATCCAATTCAAGACTAGAGTGCAAAATCCATACCCTATTTAAGACCAAAATGGCTGAAAAACCATACCCTTTAGGGCGGCACATGCCTATATAGCCCATATAAGGGAGTACCCCCCCCCCTGGAAGATACACCCACTTGGCATTGCATAACATGGCATGACATTACAAATAATCGTATAAATGATTAATGACACGGTTAATGGAAAACCTTAAGTGGCTCTGCAAAGTTTCTTTGTCAATGAATTAAGAAACCGCGAAAACTGAAGAACAGGTCTAACGTTTCATTATTACATATAATTATTGTTTCTTCCCACTATCAAACATATCTCAAACAGGAACCCTTAAGAAATTCTAAGCTTAAAACTAACGTCCGAACGTAGTTAAAGTGTCTCGGTCTATTTGCAACCGTTCCACTTAGACGTTTCCTTATTTTTTTTTCCAAAAAAAAAAAAAAATTACCTGATGGTTTGCCCTTTGTCTGATGACGTCACTTTTAGTATGCATGTGGTTAATTTAACATGGCTCCACTCTAAAATGTTTGTTTTGCTAAATTGCTAGTTTAAGCCGTGTTAGGTTACATTCATTTCGGTTCTTCTCTTCTGAGACTACTACAAAACTTCACAATGCGTAAATACGTAAATAGTGAGCCGAAATAACATAAGATAAGACAGATGAGCATGCCAGTAAAACGCATTGCTGGAAACAAAAATAAAACTATATCAATTATTTTGACGTTTCACTTCTGAAGATGTATGTCGAAACATACGAAACGTCAAGTTAAATGATATAGTTTTATTTTTGTTTTCCAACAATGCGTTTTATTGACATACTTATCACCGCAGTTTGTGTGTTATTTCTTATTAAGCTTGATGCCCAAAGAAAAAGAGTGCACCAGAACTTGTTTTCTTTTCTCTTTTAACCAAAAACAACTAACCCTTTAGCAAGGCTAGGTGACGATACTTAATCTTCTCCGACGTTGCCCGGCCATGCCTCTTTTTGCTTTTCGGTATTTTTCTTCTTGAGTCTTATTAAGCCACATTTGTGATACAGTCGAACATCCGGTTGCGACCACCTCTCGTAAGCGACCGGTTTTCCAAAATACCAGAAGTTTCTAAGTCAAATCACTATTGTAAGATCGCAACGCCTCTAAATGGTGTTAATATGCGTTCGGTTAATTAGAGTGTATATTTTGTATTGTATCGTGCCACGTGTTGGAATGTGGCGCTTGTATCGTTACGTAATTTATTCAAATAGCCTTTGGGCAGCGCTTTTTTTTTGGTTCTCACAGTGCGGATAGGAGTGCAGTAGTCAAATCGAAGAATCTAGTGCAGTTGTTGTCTTATCTCAGGGGCATCTCAGCCATTTATAGCCCAGCATCGCATTACAAATGTAAGTCTGTTACTTTCTCGGGTTTTAGTTTGCGCCATTTTCGCTTTGTTTATGTTTTAGCCTGCGTAACAAGCGTTTCGGTGGGGTTTGGAAGCAAAGAGAGACCGAGTGACGGGATTTTCGGTGTTTTGTCTGCGCGGAAAATGGGGCGAGAGCCAAAAAAAAACAAAGAAGGGGATGGGGGAGGGGAAGGAAGGAAACGCTTGCAGACAAACCCCTGGATTTTGAAAACCTCCGTTCGCCAGCGA